GGCGGAAGTCAGCACAGGGCGGCGGACAGGGAAGGGTTGACCGAATGCACGGGGCCGAACGAGCACCGCGAACAGAATTGTTTGATTTGTGGGCAGGTTAAATTGAAAGTTCAGTGCAATCTGATCCATGGGCTCAGTAGTTAAGAAGGAGCTCGTCCTAGAGACGGATGGAACCAGGCAAACAATTTTTTGTGGGCACAGGAAAATCGACGAGCTGGCAGATGTGGCTCCCCTAAGAGTGTGTACAGAGTAGTTGCAGGTATCTCTTTAGACTCTGCATTGTATCACCATGATTCGGTTTCTTGAGAGCCGCGTGAAGGCAGTGAAGTTTGAGGCGACCTGGTAGGTCACCGAGTATTTACTTTTTCTGGAAGACGGCGAGAGCTAAATCACTGTTCTGGCTAAAAACTGCTTCCCATAAAATCATTCGACGGACTAGTTTGTTGTGAGTTTCCCTTCATCGTAACCCGCCTGCCCCTAGGACGCGTGCGATCACACCATTTCTGCAAGTTAAATTCCTTTAGTTTCCTCGGCATGTATTTGGCTCCTAAGTCATCTTTTTTGCTTTCGTTTATCCATTCCAGGTGGCCATATATATCATTTTTATTGTTCATTGTCGCTTCACTCGCTTGGCTATTCCCACTCCAGGTTGATTGGCAATTTTGGACAAAAATCCATCAACCGTACACCCATATGGCGAACTTCGCGATTTGGCCTTAATTACGTCGCCATATCCACTGGTAAGTTAATCCAGCACTGTGAAATCCAGGCGCCGTTCTGCCGCAAGTAGTGACCTCTAGCCCTAGACCGGATTTTAAGCAGCATGACATTTCGGCTGATGAGACCACCCAGCGAGCGGAATGCCGCCAACGTTTTGCCGTGGATGATGCTGTGTTGATTTTGGCCCGCAAAAAGGCCCAACCTGTCCAACGTCATTCTCCACTGAGGTGGCTTTTCTGCATTCAACCGCCACCTAAGCCCCTTGGACTGGTATGGGCCCCTAACTTGAAGCTCTGGGAAATATACATGACAACTCACACACAAGACCCTAAAATCCCGTAAACCCACTTTTTTTACCCCCTTTCTGGCCGCCTTGAATGTTCGGTCAACGCTCAAAGCCTCTAAGCAGACAGCGCAAAATTTAAGGGTGCAATGTATGAACCGGGTGCTTCACTTTTTACCAAACCAGGAATTCTATCGTGAAAGCTTTTGAACCACTTGAACAAACGCACCAGACAGAGGGATACAAGTTAAGACGAGGCTCAGTGCGTGTTGCTGTTCCGATAGCCACGTGCAAAACGGAAGGCGATACCCACACTCCTGTATACAAGTCACTTCGTACGATCTGTCTGTCCGTCCGCTCCACCCCGCTAAAACGGCTGCTTTAGAACCGGCTACATATGTTGCCCGAGTGACCTTGATGGATGGGTTAACAGGTTTGAGTTCCCAAGCTTTTTATCTATCACCGGCTAAGTATCTATTGAGAGCTTATAGCTCCCAAAACAAGGGCGGGACCTGTGCTGGCCTGACAGTTATAGACCATGTGTCAGACCCTCCCTATAAGTTCGCACAGAAAATCAACTGTTGAATTGCGCAACCAGTTTAAATCTGGAGCGTCCATTCGCACCCATGCCCACACGGTTTCCTGTTAGCCTGAATATAGTTAGCCAGTCTAGTTCACTTTACTTTCAATATCTTCATATGCACTGCAATCAAGCAAGGTGAATCGCAACATCTTTAACACGTCGAGGAACTTTGGCTTGATCCACCGAAGCAGGCTTAGGGGTGGTTTGTGAAGTGAGAACGTTCTCGATCAACCATTGCATTGTTTGGGGCCACCCCTGTGCACTCATCAGTCTGGAGTAAGGATCTGCATGGCTTCTTGACCTCAGGCACATCAGCGGTCCTTCGAGTACCCGCGATTTTGTCTTTTCAGTATTGTACTCCGCACCATCCTGGCAAACCCATTTGGAATTTTGCTCTCTACTGACCATAAATTGTGGTTGAGAGACATGTGTTTTCTCCCAACAGCGGCCGGTGCCTCATATCGCCGGCCTCGGAAAAGCTATCGTCCGCTAAAATCAATCGCCACAAACTTGATCAAGTCCTGGCCTCACCCCTTTTCGATGAGTGTGATTTGTCGCCGAAAATAAAGCCAAACTCAGCCTCCAGAATGATGAATTCCAATGAACTTTAACAGAAAAAAAATTGGAGATCCGAAGCAACTAAGAGAAGCTCATTACCATACCAGAATTTAGCTCTCGTACTGGGCCTGGGACTGCAGCTTAGTTGTGAGCCTTCTGGGGCGTGAACACGCAAGCTTCGCTAGCTGTTACGGATGCAAAATGGATAAACTTCGAAGCTTTCTTACTCGTTTTCGAAGACACCGTAGGCCTTCGCTCAGGACACCATGCGCGGACTTGATCTTCGTCCTGCAACAGCTTCTGCTCGTTTCGGACGAGTACAAAGTATGACACACCGGTTAACAGTGGGCATGACAGGTCTCGGTTATTCCAATAGACTACAGGTGATAAACGTCTAACTCTTTCAACAGGGGAAACTGACACAGGACCTCAATGAGATCTTTTCAAGTCACTATGAATG